CTTATCTTAGCCAACACATTTTGTCCTCTAGGGGACTTTATCACGGTAAATGTGTTTGGCTAAGATTTCTTTTTGTCTTTATCATATTGTCCTTTTACAGATATACTCTACTTGAAAATTTTACACTGTTATTAATGTATACTCCCTTAGCAATTTTTATTGTTTTAAAATGCTATTTCTAGAATTTTAATAAAACCCTAATAAAAGCATCTTTATAACATAGCAAATAATAAATTTTAATATAGTTTGTTTATATATCAGTTATAATCTTACAGTAAGAATATTTTTATAATGTTTTAAATAAATTAAATATTGTTATAATTCACAAATTAATTTGTATACTCTTGTAAAAAATATTATTATTGTTTGCACATCTTGTAAATAAACAATTAAATAAAAAAATATTGTTTAACATTTTTGTTGTCACTTCTCTAGAGAAAAATGTATATATTCAGTTTCATTTATGATTTAATTAAAATTGTAAAAATAACCTTTTAAAAAAACAAAAATTATAGTAACAGTGGTGTCAAGAGAAAAACATCTTATTAAAATATTTTTTCTGGTTATCAGTTAAACTTTGGCCTTCTATTATTCTAAAACAAACTGATAATAAACAAATTTTAATATCTGAGGAAAGTGGGGTTGGAGAATTTGACACTCACAGGGAATATTGAGGGCAACAGGCACAGAGGAAGGCTACAGGCCATTTATTTTATGAGCTTGTGTGAATGGATGGTGGGATGCAGTGCGAGATGTTTGGCAAAGGGACAAATATTTCTAAGGGTTACAGGTGGTTGTGGAGAGCTATGATTATCCACATTCTGAAAGGGCACAATGCATATAAGAAAGTAAAAAGAATCCAAGATTTATAAGGGAACCCAAATATCTTTTCCACCAGTGGAATGGTGAGTTTATTTTTAGAAGACAACATTATTTGGAAATTATTTTCCTTCTCTTAACTGAATTTGAGATAACAAACATCATTAACCAGGCATATAGAAGAAACCCTCACATATTTTGAAAGCTTTTGTCTTTTTACGCTTGATGAGCCAAATCTATAAGTGGAGTGATATTTGTCCATGTTTGGACATAGAAAGTAATCATTGTTTTTGTAAGCATTATTTCTCTTGGACCAAATTTCTGATGATAGAACACTAAGTTTTCCTGGAAATTATTTAAAACTGGTGAACAAAGAAAACTGATAAATAAGTAGGTCCACTGGAAATAACTTTATGGTTATCAGTGACACTTGAAGTTCAACTTGGAGCTTCTGCTCCAAGTTGAACTAAGTCAATGTTTATATAAGTCTTTATTTAAACTAATAAGTGGTACTATATAATATCATTTAATGCTCTGTTAGTACCATGAAGTCTTTGAACACTTCACAAAAAGTTTTTCTTTAGTAAGTGGCAAGTAAAATTTTCATGATTAGTCAAGTAGCAAAGATCATAGTTTTTTGAAAATTGTGGACAGGCACAGGCACTACAGAATCAAACAATTAAAAAACTCTACCAATACTACTGGGGTGGTAGACAGCCTCCCGACCTTGTGTATGCAGGGTCTATAGGGAATTTATACCCAAATGTACACACTTGGAAAGACCCACATTAAAAACTGGCCTTGTATCACATCCTGCTTTGAGGGGAGGACTTGGGTAAATACTGAGTTCGCCAATACTCTGTTGACCTCTCTGCCTGAAGGCAGAGAGGAACAGACAAGGCTATGCCTACAGGCAGTCTCAGCTTGGGAGGTAGACAGCCACCTGACCCCTTGTATGCGGGATCTACAGGGAAAATTTGGCTAAGCATATGCCCTTAGAAAGCTCCACCTTAAAAACCAGCCTTGTGCCACATCCTGTCTTGTGGGGAGGACTTGAGTAAATACTGAGTTTATTAAAGCTTACTGATAAGCGATGTGTATTGTCTTAAAATTTATTTTTTAATATTAGATGTTTAATTTTTCAAAATAAACTTTTTATGTTTCTTTATTTTTTCATTTTTATATATGTTTTGACATTTGGCTATGATTTGTACCACTTTTCATAATTTAGTATTTCATTTCTGAGATGACTTATTGATAATTCTTCTTCCTTATGTGCCACATCCCCTTAAATTCCTGTCCTTTGTAGCTCTTAATAAATTTTATCTTTTTGTTATTCCTCTTAAACCCTGTTCCACCATCCATTTGCTCAAGTGTACTAAGTATGTTATGTGTTGTTTTCCTCTGTCCCACTTGCCTTCAATCTGTCCTGTTGGTATCAGATTTTCTAAACCCTCTTTCCTCATTATGTGTGCTAGAAATGTCATCTGTCTGTTCCTGATGGTAAGTATAAGTTTCATTTTTGCTTCCATTTTTTTCTAAGACTTTGTCATTGCTCACATGTTTGGTCCATAGTATTCTCAGCATCCTTCTGTAGAATCAAATTTCTGTTGCTTCAAGTCTCTTTTTCATCGTTGAGGAGATTGTCCAGCATCCACTGCTATATTTTTTAAGCATTACGCCCCGAGCAAGGCGTGAAGCCACTAGGATGCAAGGGGTTGCAGAAGATTTGGAGCGAGAGCAGATAGGAGTGATAGAAGAACGAATGAGGAGAGGGATAGTGGATAGATCAAGGTAACTGGAGATGTCGATTGACATTACATTTGAATAGTTGGAGATTATAGCTCTCAGGGAAACAGTAATAGGGAAGGGTATTCCACAGGTGAGAGGTGCGAGGTATGAAGCTATTGGAGTAGAAGAGACGGCTACATTTAAAAGTTTCTACAGTGAAAGGGTGAGAGCGGGATGCCAGCCACGTAGGGCGCTTGAATTCACGAAGTCTGGGAACCAGTGAAAGCAGCTCATCGGAGCCATTACTATAAAAGTATTTGTAAAAAGACAGAGAGAGGCGACGGCACGTCTGTGAGAGAGCAACTGTAGACGAGATGCCAGATCAGGGCCAATTATATTACATATCCACCTCTGGATCTTGTCAAGAACTCCGAGGTAAACAGAAGGTGCACCAGACTATATATGGCAGCAATACTCCATGCAAGGGTGAATGGTTGATTTGTATATTTGAAGTATCGATTCCGGGGAGAAAAATTTCCTGGCACAGCACAGAGAGCCAACTTTCCTCACAGTGGACGAAGCAACTGACTCAATGTATTTGTTCCATCTCAGGTCAGCAGTTAATGTAAGACCGAGCAGATGCAGAGAGTTGCTCTCAAGAAGTTGACTATCAGACATTATGAGGACAGATACCATGTAACAGTCCAGTAGTCTTTTCTTTGCTTCTAAAAAAGTTTTCCTGTTTCTCACTACTCTGCTGAGCTTTTAGAAGACATCATCTTTGGCTATATTAGTCTGTCTTCAGATTTCAGTGTTGCCCTTTTTGTCCTCTGTTAGAACACTTTCCAAATATTTAAATTTTTGAACTTGTTTGATTATGGTATTTCCAATTTGTAATTTGCAATTTGGGCTCACCCCTTTTGCTAACAACCATGCATTCCGTCTTCCTGCAATTTATCTTTAATCCTTTCTTCTTGCTTTCCTTCATTTTTTGTAGTTTTTTTTTTTTCCGTGTCTGTTATCAACACTGTGTCATCTGCATACCTTATGTTGTCAAGATTGTGGCCACCAATAATGAACCCTTGTAGGACTTTTAATTCTCTTAGAATTGCCTATTAGTCATTCTCAGGAGTGAAATACTAAACAGAATAATATATGTATAATATTTTAAATGGGGTGTTTGAAAACTCTCTGCTACTAATGCTGTAACAATACCCTTTAGTATTAACAGAGAGTTAAATAGGTATCAGTAGTTTTTTCACTCACCTCAGTTATAGTATATAAGTCATTGGATAAGGCTTTCACTTTCATTTAATTAATGTTTCTCATTTTTTTTTTTTTTTGATAAAAACATAGAATATTTCTATTCTAGAAAATAGGCTGAATTTAAACAGAACCATAAAACCTGTTTCAGAAGCTAAATCCAAAACTAATTAGTAGGATGGAGGATTTAGTGACACTAACCTGGACTAATCAACTAACTGCAAAATAATTATGCTTTTCATATCAATTTGTTATAAATTCATAATGCTCAATAAATGAAAGAAATGTTTTTTTATTGTTTTTCCTTTAGTTCTGATCAAAATTTTCAATCTTAAAACTACAGACACATGCAAATATTTTTTTAAATGATCTTTTTAAATTATTTCTTATTACTATAAACATTATTTTTAGTGAATTTATCCTAGCCTTGTTTTATCCAACATACTCCTGTGACCAAAATGGTAACAGCATGCTTCGGCCATAAGTGTGGTTTCCCTGATGGAAAAGGGAATAAGGGATTAATTCCTGTTTGGTGACACATTTTTCATTAGTAGGACATGATATTGAATGCAGGACAAGCTCCTCAAAGATGAAGAAGAGACTTGAAGCAAGAGAAATGTGGTTTTATAGAAGGATGCTGAGCATACCATGGGTCGAAAATGTGAGCAATGACTAGGTTTTAAAGAAAATAGAAACAAAAATGAAACTTTTAATTAACATCAGGAAGAAGCAGTTGAAATTTCTAGGGCACATAATGAGAAAAGAAGGCTTGGAAAATCTGATATTAACAGGATGGGTGGAGAGCAAGAGGGACTGAGGAAATCAGCACATAACATACTTGATGAGCTTGAATAAATGGATGGCGGAACAGGTTTTAGGAGAAATAACAAAAAGACAAAATTTATTAAGAGCTACAAAAGACAGGAAATTGTAGAGAGCCAAGATCCCTTACATCCTCAGGGGTGGGAGACAGCACATAAAAAAAGGACTTCTTGATCTAGGCTGGTTGAGATTAATTTCACTGTTTAATAAAATAAAAATCAGGGATAGCAACTCAAATGGGTGTCCATTAAAAATAACATTTATAGTAATAAGAAATTTATATATATATATATATATGTATTTAGTACAATTTGTATTCTTTTTTGTCTGTTCCCACAGTACTTTAGTATTGTCTGTTTTCCACT